TTTGTTACTTTCATTTGTCTTCTTAATTGTTGCCTTAATTATTTTTTGAGAAGGTGATGATTTTAATTTATTCATTGTTATAAATAATTTGATATTCAATTTCAAAATTGCGTTTTGAAATGTAATGTAAAGAAATTTTCCGTTATATAGTGTTACAGACTGCAATTCGTGAAATATATATTATCAGTGACCGCTGTGGATAGTAAACTAGGAAATGCAGATTGAATATTCATTTTAAACTGTGGCTACGCAATAATGTTTTTGCATCTCTGCCCCCGGCATCCGTATTTTGAGAAAACATCCTAAAAATGGGCAATACCCTTATCAAAAAGAGAAATTCGGTACACCTTTTGACGTTCAGACGTGTTTGAGTTGACTGTTTTGTCCTGAAAACGTATAAAGCAAAAATATTTGCTACATCATCTCGCTTTAGAATTTATTTTTTTAGTTAGTCTTCAACCTCCGAAAATTTTTAGTTTGTCCTTCCTCGAATTATTTAAATAGAAGTTTTAAGTGTTTTTTAACTTTCGAAAATTCTCCCCTGACAACCAATTAGACAATAATTCTAAGTTGAAAAAATGTATAAAAGAACATTAAATGATGCCTGGTAGATAGTAGATACATTTGACTGTTTGAATAAAACTGCCATGTAAGGATCGTAATGATGCCATGTGGATAAATATATCGGTTTTCAAAAGCTCTCCAGACAGCGCGTAATCCCTACAATTGGTTCCATTTTTTTTAAATGATTACAAAAATAGGTGCTGCTATAAATGAAGAGATAGTTATGACGAAGTAGAATCCTCACTACTTAGTGAATATTGTTTTTAATGGATAAATTTCATCTAAAAGAAAGTTAGAGCAATGATTCGGATGGGATTAAATATGTATCCTACATGTTTATTACAGAATGAGATCTCTAGTTTATTGTGGACTGATGTATTATGTATTTCGCCACATGAAATTTCTGTCCAATTTTGTTTACTCTCTCAACTGTGTATTTTTGTCAATGGGTTCTACGCTATTGATTTCATTCACATTTTTCAAAATGTATTTAATAAAACGATTGACCAAGACATGAAAATTTCCGTTGACAAAGGATATACAAACCAGCAAACATGATCATTATTAAAAACTTGTTTCTCGCTGTTTACGTATTTTGTCAAGGTAGAAAATCTCCGTTGGTCAAACATCATTAAAATATTCAAATTGAACATGCAGATGAAAATATTTGACGAATATAGTAAGTGGGTTAATAATATATGATAGAAATGGTGGAATAACAATATGTCTACCATCTTTTGTTTAGGATGATATAATTATGATTATATGGCGAAAGAACTTTTATATCAAATAATTTCAGACGTGCTTAAATATCTTCTTATATTCATCTGAGATCTCAGTCTGAGAGACAGTCTGACTGTCAGGTTTAATTTTCAAAAGATTTAGTTATCGCCATTTCATTTGAGAATAATCCTTACTATAAAGCTTTTTTCTATTAGAAACGTTTATTTTGTATCTCTTTTTATGTCCCACCTAGGGGCATTATGTTTTTCGGTCTGTGCGTCCGGTCGTCCGTCCGTTGGTCCGTCCGTCCGTCTGTCCCGCTTCAGGTTAAAGTTTTTGGTCAAGGTAGTTTTTTATGAAGTTGAAGTCCAATCGACTTGAAACTTAGTACACATGTTCCCTATGATATGATCTTTCTAATTTTAATGCCAAATTAGAGTTTTGACCCCAATTTCACGGTGCAATGAACATAGAAAATGATAGTGCAAGTGGGGCATCCGTGTACTATGGACACATTCTTGTTTTCAAATGAAATTAACTTTTTAACGAACCAAAGCATGCAATCTTTAACGGACACGATTAACTAAATTTCAATTAATTGTTAATCCGCATTGAATTAAATAGTTATAGACAAGTTCAGATTTACTTTTATCTTATATATATCTAATATTTCATGGATGATGATAATAATGATGATTGATTGCTGCTTAACGTCCAGTGGCAAATTAAATGCATATTCAGGACGAGAACATGTTAGTACGATATGAATTTTGAACCCTGCTTTGTACTAGACCGACACGCTGAGTCGGATTTTTCACATGCATGTTCACAAGGTAACAGTCCGCAGGAAAACATGTTACCCTACCGAGACACATTATTCTGATTCGAGACCACCGAGGCGGTTTTTAATAATTTTATTTTAAAGAAAGAAAAAGAAATAAAGAATAAATTGTGGACATATGTATTATGTATTTCACCACATGTATGTTTTGTCCAAATTTGTTTTGCTTCCTTAACTGCGTATTTTTTTTACAAGGGACCTAAGCTATTGATTTCATTCAAATTTGTCATAATTTATTTAATTACACCATTGACCAAGAGATGAACTTTCCCATTGACAAAGGGTATAGAAAATCAACAAACACGGTCAGTGTAAAAAAACTGATTTTTCGCTGGTCAAGTTTTGTGTCAAGGTAGAAAGTCTGCGTTGGTCAAATATCATTAAAACACTTATGCTGTGTTTAAATAAGGACTTCCTTTGTTTTGCCATTCTGTCTAGTATTGGGATATTCAAAGCAAACTTAAAATCGCCTCCAAAAATTTCATAATTAAATGGGCTAAGGAGTATGACTGTTTTGAGATAATAATGCATACATTTTTTTATTCTAAATGAACTAAAAAGTTATGTTGCCGAAGGGAATTAAAAAATAGCTAGTTTCTATTGAAAGCGATAATAAATATAAAACCAATATTGAATTTGAAATAAACCTTTTTCCTTCATGTTACATGTATGTGTATAACATTAAAAAAAAGTGGAGATGTGGTATGATTGCCAATGTGACAACTATCAGATAGAATACAAAGCAACTATATAGGTCACGTACGGCCTTCAACAATTAACAAACCCCAAACCGTACAGTCGACTAAATAAGGCCCCGACATGAAAAATGTGAAACAATGCGAACGAAAAAAACAACGGCCTGATTCATGATAAAGCAATAAACAAAACAAAAAAAAAATATGACAGACAGTAACCAACGAAAACATCTCAACTCCTGACTTGGGACAAGCACATAACAAATGTGGTGGGGTCATATGTTTGTGAACGCTCAACCCTCCCCGAATCTGGGACTATGGTGCAACATAAAAACGAACTGCAAAAATCAGTTGGAAATTGCTTGACTCATCAATTCGACACGAAGCACAAAAAAACAACTTACATAAAGACAAAAGACAATCAGTACCGATCTTAGAGTAATCGCAATTATTCAAAACTAGTTAAAAGCCAATAAAAACTTATAAATAGACCATGTTCTCCCAGACTACAGATTTTTTTCAAAGTGAAAAAAAAAAGTTATCAAATGAATGCAAATTAAAAAATACCACAAAGTTTTATAAATAAGATTTTTATACAGTTTAATGTACATATTTTTGTGAAAACTATATAAGATTTGAGAATATTCATGTTTGTCTCAAAATATGGCCAATTTTGTGTTGAGGGGACCAGACCACAGATTTTTTTAATTTGCATTTATGTAAATAAAGATATTATTATTAGTAGTAGTAGTACTTTACCTTAAACCTTTTATGACCCATTTTTTACGGCGTAATTTCATCTCCCTACTTGCTTTTTGAAGAATTAAACATCAACACGATAAACAAATAATTTGGAAAAGGGTAAACAAAATTTCAATAAAACTCACTGTTCAGATTTGTGGATAAAAAAGGTCAACAGTGGTCTCAGACAAATTAGAGGTTAAAAAAAACTTGCATCTTTTAGACCAATTCTAATATACTTTGTATGACCTGAGCTGAGAATATTATAAGACAGTTTACCAATAAAGCAATATGAGTCTTCATATATATTTGAATTTGGGGTTTCTTATTTTCAAGTTTAAATTGAACAATTTCAACCATTAAGATTTGGACCTAAGCAATCAAATTATTCAAAAACAAGCCTGATAAATGAACTGAAATATCAAGTAATATAAACAGAGTATTCGCTTGATACATCAGATAATTTCGATACAGTTATTGTGAAGTCAAATTTATATAAGCCTGTTTAAATAGCGTTTTTTTAGTGAAGGAAGGCCTTAAAGAAAATATAATAGGTTTTTTATGAATTATATATCTTTCCATATATAATAAATGTACTCCAAATGGAAAAGAAACTAACAAATATCATACCATATGACTAGACATGTTTTTAAAATGGTCTTCGTGCATGAAAATAATTTTGGGTTATTTAGACTGTGACACATATACTAGTATATACATGTACATGTATATATTTATATATGTGCATACAGGAGCTATGGGGAATGGAAGTTTGTTTGTTTTTACCCCATTTCTTTGTTTAGATGTCATAATAAAATATTAAAGAAGGCATTGAGAACTAAGGATAGTCGTAGATAACAAAGTAGTCAGTAAAAATCTTGATGACTTCTCCCAGAACTTTGAATTGGATTTTTGATCAATTATTCTATATTTCGTTCTAGTAAATGTTTAAAGCAAAGAAAACAGTTTAATTTTTTCAACGAATATTGTCAAAATCGTAGCTAAAGCCCCTTAAAATGTACAATGTATTTTGTTTAATATGCAATGGCTGACATACCAGTGCACCCATTTTAATTAAGTTGAGATCAAAGCTTCAAATTTCAGCTAATTCTTTATTTTAGCTCATCTGGTTGTAGGCCAGTATATGATATTTTGTTACATTATATCACTTGGTGTTCATCGTCTGTAATATTTTTCAAAGATCTTCTCTTCTGTAACTACTAAATCAATGTTAATGAAACTTCTCGCTATTATTTTTTTGAGAATCTAAATGGCTGCAATTACGAAAAAAATCATAAAGTAAAACACAGGTAATTATCTTCTTCTTTTCCCCCTTCCCATTTAAGTTTGGTGTTCTTAATTAGAACGTGGAAACTCTGCGGGACTACGCATGGTGAAAGAAACAAATCTCGTCCTAAAAGGCTATATAAAGTAAATACAATAAAATCTTTTAATTTACGATTGAAACTATTTACAATGACGAGCCAATTAATTGGATGTAGTCTGTAGCCCTGAGTGGAAATCATCGAGGGATCCCACTTCAGCAACATTGGCAGGTAACGTATTCCATTCCATGATTGTTCTACTGCTTCCACCTTTGATTTGAATACTCTTGTTGATGACTATCAATCCATTCTGGATACGATAGAGCATGCATAGCCTGTCACCACGTCAAGTTGTTTGTAATGAGTCCCAATTTAGCTCTTCCAACAACCACCCAGGTGTACGTGTTATGAAGTCATTATAGACGAATCTAGCTACTCTCCTTTAAATAAATTCTAAAATGCTAATGTTGGCTTGGTTGGTTGGGTCCATATGGTGGAAGCATACTACAAGACAGGTCGTGCTAAAGTTGTATAAAAAGCAGCATTGAATTTTCTTGTACATACTTTTAAATTTCGTTAAACAAATCCAAGTGTTCGGTTTCCCTTTGCTGCAAAATGTTCTATATATTTATTCAATGATGGTTTGTTGAATATTTTTACTCCGAAGTTTACGGCACCATCTACTGGTTCGAGTGTGTGGCCATGTAAGCTGTATTAATATTGTATAGGATCTTTGTTCTTCTGTGGTTTGCGGATGACATTGCATTTTGTTGCATTAAATCTGATCATCCATGTCTTCTCTCAATTTTCTAATACTTGAAGGCTTTTTGCAGTTGTATTGTATCTTTGGCGTCACTTATTTCTCTGTGCAATAGATTGTCATCAGCAAAGATGGGGACAGCGGGATGGGTATGTCGTTGGTGTACGTTAGAAACAATAAAATCCCAAGGATTGTGCCTTGTAGCACTCATGAAAGTACATCATCTTGTTGCGATCTAGCCCCTTCAAATATTACCTGTTGTTTCCTGTTTAATAGGAAAGAATTGATCCCTAGAAAACAATAATAGATACAGATTATTTGACAGGGCAGAAATGTTTAGAATATCAATTTTTACCTTCCCTCTTCTGTATCAAAAATTATCAGAGGAATCCTTACAGTAGTCACTACCATACAGTATAATAATAATTATAATATACACCAAAACCCAAGTAGATCGGCATTTACATAGACGTCCAGCCTCCCATTAATACTGAATGTGTATACCAAGTTTGGCGAAGGTCGGTTGGGAAACAATTACTCTAAAGTATTCACAAGTTTGTGTATTATGGACACACCAACTTTACTGTGTTCCAAGGGGATAATAACATATGTGACACCATACCAGCTACATACTGCATGTATATGTATACAATACAAGAAAGTTATAAGTCTCTTATTATATGCATATAGAAAATCTAGGATTTTGATATTTTTGGGGGTCAAAATTGTACTGGAGGTGCAAAATTATGGGTTTTTCACTTTTCCATGGCAACAAAGACGCATAGCACTTTTTTTTTTATCAGAATATAATCTATTTCTATTTGCCTTATCCATGCATGTTAATATGTGTATTAACGGTACCAATTTTTTGCTGCACCAGGTGCGCATTTCTAAAATGAATGTCTCTTCAGAGGTGTTTGAGGCCAAAATATTTGAAAATCAAAGACCTAATACTAACGTTAAAAAGCTGATAAAACCAAAAAGGATCTAAAATATAGACAAAACCTTAACTTGCTGTAATTGCCATGTATATTTCTACCCCTCATATCTGTTGTATACTGATGTTGTTCTATATTATATAAACAAGGTAAAATTATTTTTGATACTATCAACAAAATGATCATTTCATTTATTAAAATAAAACAATGTTATTTAAATATCAATTCATCAAAATATTATGTCATTAACTAATAACACTGCTGGATTATCATTTCATAGTGTCAAACATAACATAGCCTGTATAATGAGGGAAATAACGAATATAATCGGTATATAATTTCAAACGAACTTATTTGTATGTTCCAGTCATTTTCAAAATTTATGCATTTTGTAAAATGCCTGAAAACTTTAGGCATTTTTTTTAAATGTCTGCAATATTAAAAGCATTTTCAAAAATGCCCGTCAGATTAAAGGCATTTTATATATTTACTGATTTATTATATAGTCAAGTGGTCAATCCCCAGCCTTCGATTAACTTGAAACCTGTTTTTGCAAGACCCAGCTAATTTGCATTAGTAGTTTTTCCTTGTTGAACAAACGAACATTACGTTTTATTTACAGTATATAACTAGGTGTAAATGTCTTGTACATGTTAACCCACTTCTTTGTTTTAGACTCAAATAAATTGGAGGCGACCGTATCATAAGTAGCATATCGATGTTCAAAACAAGGCATTATCAATATTGATACTATCAGACACGGTGTACATTTCGATGTTAAAAAAAGCAAAACATGTCATTCTACGCCTCTTAGATTTAAAAGACAGATGTCTTTGACTAAAGCAAACTTTCGGCGTTCATGAACTCTAAGACAGTTTATCTGGTACATAATTCTTAGCTGCTACCGTTGCACGCCCTGCATTTTCCATAGCTGAGTAAACCAAAAACGTTTAGTCTGAACCCATTTATGTTAAAGACTCTGAAAACAAATTCTCTTTCTCGAGTGTATGAATGTTGTTTAGTTTTACTTCTTAATACAAAAGAATAAGTTTGATAATTATAAGTCAAAGGTCGAAATATAACAAATCAGAACTAGCTTCAATTTTTGCTAAATATGCTTCCAAAAGATTTACTAGAGAGCACATATGGTCTAATCTAGAAATTTAACCATGTCTTTAGCAATACGTCTTGCCTTTATAAATAATGATATTGACATGTGATGTAAAAAAAAAAAAGCAAGTGCTTTGCTTTGATATTACAAATCCGACCGAAATGCAAAACATACTGTTCACATTAAAGAAAACATACGACCTTGATGTTTACTATACAGCTCTGTCGGCACACTTAAGTCAACTCGATCATTTTTCTTTTTTGGACGGGACAAAATATTCTTAGCGCTTCTACAATACTTTAAAATAATTCAGACTCGCATACAGAAAGTACCCCGGCGTATCATCATACGATGAATCCATTTCATGCTTAAATCTAAAGCTCAGTATACCTTTGTCAAATGTTGCGAATATTTTATCATATGAAAGAATTAGGATTTTCTGTCAATATGAACAATTGTTTGAATTTTCGTATATATTTTGCTGCTGTAGTATTGATCCTTGTATCTATTTACAGGTGCATTTAAGTTTGAGTTCTGCATGATTAACCGATGTGACATGAAAGGGGGGGGGGGGGGGTAACTATAAGTAGATAAATGTATACAATAATGATAATAAAATAATATACTAGTCCGCTTATGGAATATATTCACCTGATGTAATCCAGTGACCCAGCTAAAACTTCACATCTATGCTAAGTGCATTACCAACGGTAGTGTCAAGTGACTGCCAATGCACACAGTTCATCTAATTTTAGTGTAAAACAATTCTGTAAAAAAAAAGCGAAAAATTTACAATTTTAGGGGGCTTATTAGTGCCTTTATAATATATCTTATAGCAAATAAAGAATTTATATATTTCCGGGTTAAACATTCTGTCTACGTTTAAATCCAGATAAAGATAATAAGATGTGGTATGATTGACAATGATGCAACTACTAGTATCCACCAGAAACCAAATGACGAAGATTTAAATAACTATAGATCACCATTCAGCCTTCGACAATGAGTTAAACACATACCGTATAGTAAGCACGTACATCAGATATATACTTTGTTTTGTTTGACCAGCGTCAAATAACAACGGTCTAAGCGATGAAGACCAATTCAAACTATCAAAGTTCTTTTTGCACGGAAGTTAACTACATGTAAATAATTTATAACTATGCTTGCTGAAGTTACTGGTCGAACAACTCGAATAGTCGCTTGTGAAAGCGCCAAAAAATCTGGGTTTCAATATAAGTAATTTGGTATTATTAAAGCTTGCGAAATGGCCGATTAAAACTGAACCCCACAATTCAATTAGAAATGCAAACAATCGTCTAGGTCAGCAATTTTAAACATACCTGCTTGTTTGTGATGTTCCCTGGGTATTTGTCTGACAAAGTGCGAACTATTATTTTGACAACAACAATTGTAGATGGTCAAGGCTAAATACTGTAATTTAGATATTTCATTATTATTGTATGCACTTTTACAGCTTTCTGACTAAATGTATAAAAACTATCAGTATATTTTTTTTAGCAAATGCGCAAAGCTTGTTAAAGACATTGACTTCCCTCCAAGTGGAGCTTTTTTTCTCTCATCAATTGACCAAGAATTTTTACATTATCTAACCCAAGGTTGCTAATATTAATGTCGCGTCAGATGTCCGAATAAAAAAACTGGTTCTATCTTAAAACAGTATCTTTCTAAAGCAACAAAACTCTAATACAAGAGTTATGATTGTTTAATCTTGTCTTAAATTAATCACTGTTAACAATTCATGCTTTTTCTGTAATGTGACCTAATTAAGGTGACAGTAGTTAACCAATGTTTAAATCTCGTACATACAGAGAAGAGAAAAATCAATGTAACAAACAAAAACTGAGGGAATCGCATGAACTCCAAAATGAGCGATACCGGGTGCGTCGGCAGGGTAATTTTCTTCTGCTGTAAATGGACCCCCTTTCATGCAAATTCACGCTCAGTCAAAATGTCACAATCGGGAAAAGGATACAATCGGTTAAATTACAGACTGGTATCTAAAGTTCTAAGACCACGAAAACATGTTGCTAGTGAGTGGAGACATCAACACAACGTATCGGTCAACCAATTCGTGATGTTGACTGTAAAAATTATGTATCGAGTTATATATCTCCCAATTGACAAACTATTCCAGCGCTTACGTTTCCTATCATAATTTCCTTGATAGAGGGTTGTTGCTTTCAGGGAAGCAATTGGACCAATGGTTCCAAGTGGTGAAGTTGAGGTCATTCTTACTACAGTTTTACTGACACCATCACGAGTTGGTTGAGCGTTACGGAATATCTGTGTGACAAATGACTACGTATATGTTGCAAATGTCGTAACCACAATACCGGCTTTGTTTCATCTATTGTGACATCCTCGAATTTATACTTGCATTAGCAACACAACGGGTGCCACATGAACTGCTTACCCTCAAAGAGCAATTGAGTGTTGCTCAATCTGTAGTATTCTATGAAGTTTTTTGTAGATTTGTTCGTCTAATCGTCTTTTTTTACCATGGCGTTGTTAGTTTTTCTTCGACTTATGATTTTTGAATGTCCCCTTGGTATTTTCTGCCTCTTTTTTATGTAGTGTCGAATACAGTCGCTCTTACTCATATTTCTGTTGGGGCAGTTTTTTTAGAGAACCACATCCCCGTTAAGTAAGACCGAATAGTGTGAACATGCGCGTGCGTAACGTATTAGCTGAGATATGTAAACGACATACGATGGAGCAGAAGGTATGTTACTGCTGAAAAATGGAACGTTCGTCATAGATTATAGTTTGAAGTCGTCCATCTGTGTCAACATCGAGGAAAAGATCAAGATATGAAGCAGATCTTCTGCTTTTGGCAGTATCCTGACTCTCAAGTTCACTGAATATAATATATGAGATGTTAGGACTTATTGAAATGTTGGTTACTGAGTGACAGAACATCATTATTATATCTGAAAGTGAAATTAAAGAAATTAGGAAGATTTATTTTCTTTTATCTTTAAAAAGGTGCAGTACAAAAACAAGACGGCCAGTAGTGGTGCAGAATAAGTGCCCATTTGAATACCGTCTGTCTGCTGGTGTATCAATCCACCAATCTGAACAAATATTTTATCGATCAAAAAGTTCAGCATCAGCATTTTGATGATATCATCTTTGGTATATTTGTTATCGCAATCAGTGAGTAAGATTTTTCCTGACCAAATGAATACGTATATACGTTTCCCATTTCTGTAGAAAAGGCTCTATTTGATAAGTCGATGTAGTCGATCTTTCAATTGAGCATGGGAAATAATAGTGTAAAGCTTGGAAAAGTCAAAGGTGTTGATATTACTACAAAATTGTAAAGATTGTAATGGAAAATTTTGGAGTAGATCTTTAGATTTTTTAAGAATCCACATCTGATTGAAACCGCTGATTGACTATACCCCATCTAATATTTCTGAAGGTTATCTTTTACTGTAGAAAGAATGGTGATACGAAATATAGAAAGATGTTTAGTCGAATATCTGGAGGACCCAACTGTACATGTATATCGTTCTTTATAAGGATTTTTGTCAGGTTTAGGTAACTAGTATTACATGTAAGATAGGAGATTTTCATCGTTCTTTATTATGTTGATACCAAAAAAGAGTAGGACGGGTTTATGGTTTTCTAAAATCGCCCATTTTGTGTTGTCTAGTAATAAAATCCAAATAATGGTTTTTGCATATCAAAACAATATTGTAATATGCTTTGTCTGCTGTAACACCACCATATTTTTCGGGAAGAGAAAATAAAACATCCACAACCTCGGCCTACTCGAAAGGGTCAGCAACATGTGAGCATATTGTGCATTGTAGATTGTGAATACGCGTTTGAATGCTTGATCGAACAGTTGTGATCTACTCCGATAAAGTTTCCAGTTCTGGTGTATTTGGCGCGTGCATTACCTATTTCATGGCATAATCCTCAACTGCATCCATCAGTTACCTCAAGTTCTTTGAGTTGACTTGCTGGGGAATTCGATTGTTCGGGCCTTTGGCTAACAACTATCTAAGTTTATATTTTTACGATTACGGAAATTTATTCGTATAAGGACGATGCACAAGAGGAATCAGGAGGTTTGGATTTTACATCCCTGAGGGTAAAGGTCTCTGATACCCTCTTGTGGTTGAAAATCTTGGAAGCAATAGGTTTGATGACGGTTCATGAAATGACAGGTGTAGTTTTATCTTTGAAGTTAACAGAAATTGTTTTATGCACACATTTTTGGGGGAAAATTTGCTATCATGCATCCTAACCCTAAATGTGAGTTATTGAGTGACAGAACATCATTATTATATCTGAAAGTGAAATTAAAGAAATTAGGAAGATTTATTTTCTTTTATCTTTAAAAAGGTTCAGTACAAAAACAATACGGCCAGTAGTGGTGCAGAATAAGTGCCCATTTGAATACCGTCTGTCTGCTGGTGTATCAATCCACCAATCTGAACAAATATTTTATCGATCAAAAAGTTCAGCATCAGCATTTTGATGATATCATCTTTGGTATATTTGTTATCGCAATCAGTGAGTAAGATTTTTCCTGACCAAATGAATACGTATATACGTTTCCCATTTCTGTAGAAAAGGCTCTATTTGATAAGTCGATGTAGTCGATCTTTCAATTGAGCATGGGAAATAATAGTGTAAAGCTTGGAAAAGTCAAAGGTGTTGATATTACTACAAAATTGTAAAGATTGTAATGGAAAATTTTGGAGTAGATCTTTAGATTTTTTAAGAATCCACATCTGATTGAAACCGCTGATTGACTATACCCCATCTAATATTTCTGAAGGTTATCTTTTACTGTAGAAAGAATGGTGATACGAAATATAGAAAGATGTTTAGTCGAATATCTGGAGGACCCAACTGTACATGTATATCGTTCTTTATAAGGATTTTTGTCAGGTTTAGGTAACTAGTATTACATGTAAGATAGGAGATTTTCATCGTTCTTTATTATGTTGATACCAAAAAAGAGTAGGACGGGTTTATGGTTTTCTAAAATCGCCCATTTTGTGTTGTCTAGTAATAAAATCCAAATAATGGTTTTTGCATATCAAAACAATATTGTAATATGCTTTGTCTGCTGTAACACCACCATATTTTTCGGGAAGAGAAAATAAAACATCCACAACCTCGGCCTACTCGAAAGGGTCAGCAACATGTGAGCATATTGTGCATTGTAGATTGTGAATACGCGTTTGAATGCTTGATCGAACAGTTGTGATCTACTCCGATAAAGTTTCCAGTTCTGGTGTATTTGGCGCGTGCATTACCTATTTCATGGCATAATCCTCAACTGCATCCATCAGTTACCTCAAGTTCTTTGAGTTGACTTGCTGGGGAATTCGATTGTTCGGGCCTTTGGCTAACAACTATCTAAGTTTATATTTTTACGATTACGGAAATTTATTCGTATAAGGACGATGCACAAGAGGAATCAGGAGGTTTGGATTTTACATCCCTGAGGGTAAAGGTCTCTGATACCCTCTTGTGGTTGAAAATCTTGGAAGCAATAGGTTTGATGACGGTTCATGAAATGACAGGTGTAGTTTTATCTTTGAAGTTAACAGAAATTGTTTTATGCACACATTTTTGGGGGAAAATTTGCTATCATGCATCCTAACCCTAAATGTGAGTTATTGAGTGACAGAACATCATTATCATATCTGAAAGTGAAATTAAAGAAATTAGGAAGATTTATTTTCTTTTATCTTAAAAGGTTCTGTGCGAAATCTTCTGCATATGAGCACAAAAACGAGTCGGGCGTTAGTTGTGCACAATTAGTACCCACAGGAATATCGACTGTCTGCTAAAATATCAATCCACTGAAATGTGTTACTTTACAAACAGCTATAGTTACTATATGGCTGAGATTCATACCTCTAGAATCATTTCTTTCTGAAATATGTCACCTTCTACTGTTTAATACCTCTAGAATCATTTCTTTCTGAAATATGTCACCTAGTACTGTTTTATATCTCTGGAATCATTTCATTATGAAATGTCACCTTCTACTGTTTCATAACTCTAGAATCATGTCTTTCTAAAATATGTCACCTTCTACTGTTTAATACCTCTAGAATCATTTCTTTCTTAAATAAGTCACCCTCTACTGTTTAATACCTCTAGAATCATTTCTTTCTTAAATAAGTCACCCTCTACTGTTTAATACCTCTAGAATCATTTCTTTCTTAAATAAGTCACCTTCTACTGTTTAATACCTCTAGAATCATTTCTTTCTTAAATAAGTCACCTTCTACTGTTTAATACCTCTAGAATCATTTCTTTCTTAAATAAGTCACCCTCTACTGTTTAATACCTCTAGAATCATTTCTTTCTTAAATAAGTCATCTTCTACTGATTAATACCTCTAGAATCATTTTTTTCTTAAATAAGTCACCTTCTACTGTTTAATACCTCTAGAATCATTTCTTTCTTAAATAAGTCACCCTCTACTGTTTAATACCTCTAGAATCATTTCTTCCTTAAATAAGTCACCTTCTACTGTTTAATACCTCTAGAATCATTTCTTCCTTAAATAAGTCATCTTCTACTGTTTAATACCTCTAGAATCATTTCTTCCTTAAATAAGTCATCTTCTACTGTTTAATACCTCTAGAATCATTTCTTCCTTAAATAAGTCACCTTCTACTGTTTAATACCTCTAGAATCATTTCTTTCTTAAATAAGTCACCCTCTACTGTTTAATACCTCTAGAATCATTTCTTCCTTAAATAAGTCACCTTCTACTGTTTAATACCTCTAGAATCATTTCTTCCTTAAATAAGTCATCTTCTACTGTTTAATACCTCTAGAATCATTTCTTCCTTAAATAAGTCATCTTCTACTGTTTAATACCTCTAGAATCATTTCTTCCTTAAATAAGTCACCTTCTACTGTTTAATACCTCTAGAATCATTTCTTCCTTAAATAAGTCATCTTCTACTGTTTAATACCTCTAGAATCATTTCTTCCTTAAATAAGTCACCCTCTACTGTTTAATACCTCTAGAATCATTTCTTCCTTAAATAAGTCACCCTCTACTGTTTAATACCTCTAGAATCATTTCTTCCTTAAATAAGTCATCTTCTACTGTTTAATACCTCTAGAATCATTTTTTTCTTAAATAAGTCATCTTCATACCTCTGGAGTTTTTCAACAGCAATTTTTTCTTTCTGGATTAAACTCCTTCTTATGGAAGTTTTCCTGTGTAATTTTACTGTAGTTAGTGTATAGCATCTGTTTTCTTCACGACTTCAACTTAATATCATAGAGAAGTTTTCATTAAATATTCTTCAAAGTTTGAAATATAATATATACATAGTTTAGTTGCACTGGTCCAGAGATAAATGACCCCATATAAAATTTTATAGACCATGTACAAATTTAGCCAGTGGGGTTTATGATGTAAGTAAACACTCTATTCAGATTACTGAATGACCATGTTGCGTAAACCCCATTACACATGTTACTTTTAAGTGTATTGGGAGATTAGGAGTTTAAATAAGGGTAATTCAACGGTCACTTCAAAGATGCAAAAGTTTAGTACCGACGTTTATTACTTTATTTGATTAATGGGATAATTTCTCCGGGTACTATATAAACAAGTTTTTTCAATTGGTGTACTATCTGTGTATTCCAACTGAACAGAACTTTGTGTTTTTATTTTAAAGAAACCCTAGTGGTATGATAAAAGTCCTAATAACACAAATAGCAAACAGTTACTTGTCGTCTACATATACATAAAAGTTTCATCCATCCTCACCCCAACCAACACCTAAACCAAGTATAAAAAGTGGTGGAGGAAAAGAAATAAAGATCTCCGGTGGATGAAGCTTGTGGTCATTTATCTCTAGACCAGTGCAACTAAACTATGTATACATTATATTTCAAACTTGGAAGAATATTTAATGAAAACTTCTTTATAATAAAAGTGGTGAAGTATAAAATTAATATAACATTTCTGTAATTTCATGTTTATTTTTCGGCTTAATTGGATACACTTTTTTCCTTCTTTGAACATTGATTTTCGGACACATTTCAAACCACTCCTTTCAAGATGCTCTTCGGAATTGTTGAACTACTGATCTTTTATGGTCTCTACGATAACATTTATTTTGCTTTCTTTGAGTATTTTAAACATTGGTAATTTAATAAATATGCATTCAGCTAGTTTGACGTTAATGGTTTCTGTATTCTGCCGCAAAGTAAAAAATATATAGAGAATATGTAAAGGATAATATTAAAGATAAAAATGAAAAATACAAACACAAATAAATAATGACACATCGAAAAAAAATGGCGCACAGAACTGCAGCAAAAAAATGTTGACAGCCGTTGTTTTTTTTTCGAGTTGACTATCTATATTCAGTATAAATTCAGAACTGTTTACATACTTAATAAAAAAAAATGATAATCAGAATATATACTGAAATTTTCATCAACAAAAGATATCGAGAAATAAAATTTTCGCCATATCGTTTTGTAACAAGATGACTGTGTTTTACAAACCATTAATCGTATGTATATAATGACTCGTTAAGTTTTTGCAAGTATGTCAAGTGTGATTTTGTTGGATTTGAGATAAATCTTTCAACTAAATATATAAGCCACCATTATTTTTTAACATATACCTTTGCTCCAGTTTATTTATTTAAAAGACCAACAAGCCATATACAATTTGATCGTCCGATCAAACGCGTTAAGAGTATACATAATAAGCTATTATATTTTCAAAACGCAATTAAAGTTACGTCTAACAAATTGATATATTTTAACTGTATTTCCCGTTATATCGAAATGTTTTACATGAAAATAGCTTTCTGTTTTAAAGTCTTTTAATATTTTACCTGAGAGATTATTTCATATCTGGACCAAGCCGTTTGTGTTCAATGAAAGTGATACTGAAAGTGTGTAATCAGATGTGTTAGTCAGTTGGCTGATATCTTTCTTGGTGTAAACGGAAGTGATAGTAAGTTGGTTGATATCTTCCTTGGTGTAATCGGAAATGATAGTCAGATGGCTGATATCTTCCTTGGTGTAATCGGAAGTGATAGTCAGTTGGTTGATATCTTCCTTGGTGTAATCGGAAGTGATAGTCAGTTGGCTGATATCTTCCTTGATGTAATCGGAAGTGATAGTCACTTGGTTGATATCTTCCTTTGCGTGATCGGAAGTGATAGTCAGTTGGTTGATATATTCCTTGGTGTAATCGGAAGTGATAGTCAGTTGGCTGATATCTTCCTTGGTGTAATCGGAAGTGATAGTCAGTTGGCAGATATCTTCCTTGGTGTAATAGGAAGTGATAGCCAGTTGGTTGATATTTTCCTTGGTGTAATCGGAAGTGATAGTCAGTTGGTTGATATCTTCCTTTGCGTGATCGGAAGTGATAGTCAGTTGATTAATATCTGGCTAAGTGTAATTGGAAGTGATAGTCAGTTGGTTGAGATCTTCCTTAGTGTGATCGGAAGTGACAGTCAGTTTGTTGATATATGGCTACGTGTGATTGGAAGTGATAGTCAGTTTGTTGAGATCTTCCTTAGTGTGATCGGAAGTGACAGTCAGTTTGTTGATATATGGCTACGTGTGATTGGAAGTGATAGTCAGTTTGTTGAGATCTTCCTTAGTGTGATCGGAAGTGATATTCAGTTTGTTGATATCTGGCTACGTGTGATTGGGAGTGATAGTCAGTTGATTGATATCTTGCTAAGTGTGATTGGAACTGATAGTCAGTTGGTTGATATCTTCCTTAGTGTGATTGGAAGTGATAGTCAGTTGATTGATATCTTGCTAAGTGTGATCGGAAGTGATAGTCAGTTGATTGATATCTTTCTAAGTGTGATCGGAAGTGATAGTCAGTTGATTGATATCTTGCTAAGTGTGATTGGAAGTGATAGTCAGTTGGTTGATATCTTCCTTAGTGTGATCGGAGGTGATAGCCAGTTGATTGATATCTTGCTAAGTGTGATTGGAAGTGATAGTCAGTTAGTTGATATCTTCCTAAGTGTGATTGGAAGTGATAGTCAGTTGGTTGATATCTTCCTTAGTGTGATTGGAAGTGATAGTCAGTTGGTTGATATCTTCCTTAGTGTGATCGGAAGTGATAGTTGGTTGATATCTTCCTTAGTGTGATTGGAAGTGATAGTCAGTTGGTTGATATCTTCCTTAGTGTGATCGGAAGTGATAGTCAGTTTGTTGATATCTTCCTTAGTGTGATCGGAAGTGATAGTCAGTTGGCTGATATCTGGTTAAGTGTAATCGGAAGTGATAGTCGGTTGATTGATAGCTGGCTTAGTGTAATCGGAAGTAATAGTCAGTTGGCTGATATCTGGCTAAGTGTAATCGGAAGTGATAGTCAGTTGATTGATATCTGGCTAAATGTGATTGGGAGTGATAGTCAGTTGGCCGATTAATATCTGGCTACGTGTGATTGGGAGTGATAGTCAGATGATTAATATCTGGCTAAGTGTAATCGGAAGTGATAGTCAGTTGGTTAATATCTGGCTAAGTGTAATCGGAAGTGATAGTCAGTTGGTTAATATCTGGCTAAGTGTAATCGGAAGTGATAGTCAGTTGGTTAATATCTGGCTAAGTGTAATCGGAAGTGATAGTCAGTTGATTGATATCTGGCTACGTGTGATTGGAAGTGATAGTCAGTTGGCTAATATCTTCCTTAGTGTGATCAGATCTAGAGATTTCAAAATTTGAGGTGAAGGTCTTGCTATAAAATATACTATATGTCAATAATGATTCGGAATTCACTTGAATGCACACACAAAAAAATATTGACGGTACCAATCTTTCTTCACACGCTGGGCATTTGGACAACTAATTTCTCATAAGTGATATATAGTCATGGCAAAAACAATTATTTGAAAACCTAAAATCGTATACAAACGTTAAAGATCTGATGACCCAAAAGAGAAAAAAAAGTATAATCAAAACTGAAAAGGAATTGAAGCTATTCATGTAAGAGACACATTCCTTCATTCGAAACGATTTAAAAAAAATTATAACAACAAATTTCAATAAAAATCATATCCGTATAAATGTATGTCTATATAATCTTCTGATTCGTCAGTCCTATGCACGTTGTAAAGTATGTCTAATAAGAAAATAGTCCATTTAGAATGTAATAGTTAGTAATCATATCATATTATTGCAAATAGGTGACATAACTACAGAATGTGTGGTCAACAACATTTTAATTCAAAGTATGTACAACAACATTTTAATTCAAAGTATGTACAACAACATTAAAAAACGTGCTTTTTATATCAAACTCGACAGTGTGCATAGCAAGTTGATTAATCATTTGGTGTACGATCATTTATACGGGGTGGGGGTTATATCCTGAAATAATCTCAAGCGTAAGACTTTTATGGTCGATATCCAATGACAATCGTAATTACTTTAGCCAATGTATAAGTTCAGTACTCCATTCAATGTCGTCGTCTAAGATTTCATCAATGAACATCATTCTTATTTTTCACATGTCAATATTTAAACTAAATCGGCAGTTAACATAGTTAACTTGATAAAGATGCATTGGAATAACGTTTTTATCGACGAATTGCTATTTTTTTTTATCATAGTTAATTTTATTATTTTTTTTAATCATTTACATTTATTTTCATTCATTTATTTATATTCGTGATAAACGTTTATATCCTTTATTGTCCCTTTTAAATTACGTCAGGCGAAAATCAGAAAGACATATCTTTCGCACTGAAATCGGTATTAACTGTGTTTCCATGCAACAGTGTAAGGGAGGTAAAAGCGTGTAAATTTTACACGCGAATGACCCGAAGTTATATAAGAGAAAAAATTACGGTTAGTGAACACGGTGTTTACATAACGTTGAAGAGGTCAGATGCAACTAAGAACCATTCAGAATTCAGAATAGTAATTTTGGAGAAAGTTTCAGCCAAGGTAAGCACCACTATCATAGATAAAAAAATATTTATAAAGAAACGGTAAATTAGCAAAACGAATAGAAACATGAATATGTGATTCGATCAAATCTTGACTATTTCATATTTTATGCAGTATTCCTAGTTTTGTCATTAATTTTTATAAATATTTTTTCGATCTTTTGTAAATGCAACTTTTCAAGTCTTTCGTTAAACAAGTAATTTTTCTCCATTTAGTTTGTTTTTGAAAATTTCTGGGGCTAATACGTACAACAGAGCCATTATATAAGCATGACATTACTTCTATATAGACACTTACTAGAAACAAAGGGTCTTGTAAAGCACACACCAAAAGTCCATATGGAATCAAGAGCAAAGGACTGCTGTGGAGATCCCGAAAAAGGGATAGTGTGTTACTAGGAAAAGGGGAATAGGGGGTTGGGGAGGGGGGGGGGGGGGGGGGGGGGGGGGGGGGGCGAAGAATCGCCAGTCAGGTAAATTTGCACCGAATTAAAAAGCCGTAAATTGCTTTGGCTTGAAAAATGTACATATGCACACCTTAACTATAGAGTTTCCCGAAAGAAACAAAACCTTCTGTTAGAAAAGATAGCGCCTTTATATTGTATTGAATGTTACATGTATGGATATTGTATAATCTAAATACTAATTTATTGATTGATGTTTGCTTAACGTCCAGTGGAAAACATTTCATGCATGTTCAGGACGATAATAATTTAATACACAACAAGTACAATGGGTAGGTCCAGCGATACGGGATCGACCTTGAAATTTGGAATGCTAACATAAAAATGATGATATATTGGAAAGGGACGGAAATGTAGCCTTGCAACGGTCCACCTACGAACCCCTCAAATAGTTGTTGCAATGGTTATAAACGTGCAGAGAGCGTTGCACCTTCTCTATACAAGGCATCGGATTCAACGTCTCCTGTCTGACCTGACCAGACTGCTAGTTAACACATTCCGCACCGCGCACAGGGGAACTGCAAATGCATATACCTTATTAGATTGCACGTAGTTATCCAGTTTTATAAGGAATTGGAAAAAAATATATGCTAGAAGTTCGTCATTGATCCGTTAATAGATAACCATTCTGGAACCGACATGTACTTTGGCACTTTATCATAATTCATTTTCGTTAAATCTTTAAATTTTTGGATATCAATACTAGCATTCGTTTTGTGTAAATAAAATGGTGTATATGCACGAGCTTCCGTTGTTCACTAGGATATAGGTTAAGGTGGCACGGTAGTATTTACATTCCGGAATTTAGGTTGCTCTTTTGTGTACCCTACTTAAGTCAATGTATCTGAACAGTGTGATTGATTGGACAAAAAATACAGTATCTACTGAACATACTTTCCCAAACCGAGGGATGAATCAGGTGTAGAAAAATATGAAATAATTTTACATACGGGTGAAAATGAATTTTTGAGAATTTTTTTTAATTTTGTAATCACTGCATGATAAAAGATCTAAAAGCACTTAGTGGCCTTAGGTTTATAAAAACAGCAAAAAAAAGTAAACAGTCATGATACATATTCAAATTCATTTCCAAATATTATAACGAAAGTTCTTCAGTTTACCTTGTATGTAGAATTTTGGGCAGTGTTAGAAAGTGGTGAAAATTCTAAAAAGGCTATCATTATCCCTATGGGCCAGGAAATACTACCGTGCCGCCTTAACTGGGATATATATGATGTTCACTAAATGAATAAAGGTATTTCTTTTACCTATTAAATTTGTAAGTTTGTTAACAAAAAGCTGATTAAGGACAACTAGAATAAGAACAGCCCTTAAATTCCACCCCTGGGAGTGAAAATTGCTGAATCAGCAAATTTTGCCTGATCTGTGGGTAATAATGTCAAAATTTACCTAGAAGGTAGAATTTTATAATTTTAATGTAACTTGCAATATATTTTCAATTATAAATGCTGGCTTTAACTTTTCGCAGTGTTTGACACATGTGCAACCACTGGAATTTGAGACGCGACATATTTTAGTTGCCTGTACGTCCTATAGTTTTCACTGAAATAAATAAAGTGCATAATGTTTGATTTTTTTCCACACAAGTACAGCTATACTAGTTTTCTTCAGGTTTAATTTGTAGTTCTGTGGTAACTTGACACCAGAATGAGCTTTTTAAGGACCAGTAAGTGATTAAGGGGTCCTTACTTATTCAATTAGCCCTCATATTTAGGTGAAATAGAGTTAGCATCATTATCCCTATGGGCCAGGAAATACTACCGTGCCACCTTAACAGTGATACAGTCAGCCATTGGTATTATGAAACACAATTCATTCATTTTGATTTGATAATTATTTTTTGAATTGATGAAAAATCTTTAAAGTTTATCATTTAGATCCTTGAACACTTAAATTTCACTATTTTTGTTACCCCCCTCCCTGATTTTGACAGAGAGTGAAAACAATATTGGGGGAATTAACCATACCTCGTTTAGGTGAATAGTAGCGCAGTAATTTCATTACGATGACGTGCTATTCCGATTAAGCACCTCATATCATGGAGTTTTTGATCATATATACTTGCGTACTCTCCCTTTGACTATTATAGGCAAAACAAGATTTTTGTAAATCTTTATTAACGGCAAAGAAATCATATCAATTATTTTTACGTGCATTTTTGATAGGCAATGGAAATAACTAAACTTTGGTAAAGAAAAATAACGGGATTAAAATTGAAATATACTCACAAAATTTTCTCTTTTACACTGTACTCAAATATTTTTTAATTTGTTTTTACAATATGTTCTTTATGGTTAAAAGTTTAATAGTCATTCCATAGCACATTCGTGTTTAAAAGTCATTCCATAGCACATTCGTGTTTAAAAGTCATTCCATAGCACATTGATATAGTTATATATACCTAAAGGTAAACATTCTAAAGACAGTATTGTCATCACAGGTCAGTTTTCGCTTGATATCTGAAGCCCAAGGAATGAACAATTTTGCTCTTGTAATCTGTCCTGACTGGTATTTCGCCCTCATTTCAAATACACATTCTAGTCTCTATTTCTCAATTCTTGACTGAGATGCCTGTTCATCAATTTAACGAATTTTAATGTAATTAACCGACTGTTGTTCAATGATAAAAGTCCATCGTGACATATACATTTTTTTCCCTTTACTTTTGTCTGTGTTTAAAACTGTGTCAATGTAAACTAACTAACGACAAATACAAGTTGGATTTATTTACGTAACTGATTAAAATTACAGGTAGACGACTAAAGGTAAAAAGCGCAAATGTCCGGTCAATGTACTACAGGTGTATCAAAATCTAAAGCGCAAATGTCCATAGTGTTTGGAGCGCAAATGTCCTATCATGTTACAGGTAAAAAAGCGCAAACTTCCTGTGTCCACCTGAAATAATTCATGGACTTGTCAAAACTATAAACTACTGTGGCGTATTGTTGTACCCATGGTTTGTTTATTATAACATATTTTGTATAAATATTTGATATTTTGTTGTAATAAGCAGTATAAAAAATAACATACGAATAAAAGTTGAAATTAGTGTCTATTTTAAAGGAACATTTAAAGTCCTAAAGATTGGGAAGTAGTAACTATTATAACAGTTTCATTAAAGCATTAAATCCTATAGAAATTTGTATCTCAAGATACTACTATTATATCTTACAGGGATTATAATTTATTTATTTCATTTTTATATTCGAAAATTGTTTACATACAATATATACGTTCATTGCTGGACAACGCAAAGTTTTTAACGTGATTAAGAAATAGGATGACTGAAAGCGAGTCTGTTTGTTTGTTTACTTTTTTCGTAACGAGTACATATACGTTTCATATAATCATGCAAACAACTCGCATTGTTTTTATTCTGCAATTTGATATAACAATAAAGTGTTTAAAATGTTAACACGCCAAACTGTTGTTTATAAAAATCGACGTTGCATTGAGGACCGCGAAGTGGGCACCAATAAACTAAGACATCTACATTATTATAAAAGATAAAAGAGCACGATACGAGCACACGATTTTTACATCGGATGACCGTGAGGGCATTCCGGTGTATTGTTGCCACAGACATTTCTACCCACGTGACTTTCGTTTTTGACTGATAACCGAACGCAAAATAACATTCCTTATCGCTTGTTATATATCAATTTCATCAATAAATATTCATGAAAATAACTTTTACGAACATAGATAAATGATATGAAAATGTTTCGTCGTGAGAATTATATATATATCAATAACAAATCAAGAATACCGAAAATTTGTGTTAACGCATGCGGAAGAATATCTCAAGAACGTTTTTTTGCGGGAAAATATGAATGCCTACTCAAACCCAATCTATTAGAAAAATCGAATTATTACAGAAGAGTGTCCACCATGCACTTGCACTGCACTATTATTAGAATAGTAGAATAGAATGATATACAAATGGATGAACATTATATATACTGATTTGTATCACTACAATATAATAGTTATTACGGTGAGGTTGAATTCCCTGTCATTTATTCATCATCCACGCACGAACTTGTCTCAGAAAAAAATATATCTATGTACCTTAACCTCACTTTCAGGTATAAAGATGTGATTTTTTTTTCTGAGACAAGTGCTTGTGACCATCTACAAGAACTTGCGTTCATCCGATGTTCAGTACTTCAGTACTTTGATTTGTATAGTATTATGCAGCTGTACAATTTATTTTAAACCTTTATTTGTGTAGTTAAATGGTTAATTAGTTGATTGCACGATAATGTGGTCGATCTAAAAATTTACATCTAAAGCATTGTCTTCCATTTCATTTGTCGGAAAATCGCAAATATGTAAGAATTATTATAGTAAATTATTTTTTTTTATTCGAACTTCTTTATAAAAGGTCCACTGGCAAAAACTAACTGAATTAAATCTTTATTAGGTCCTTACCAATGCCTTGATCATGAATGAATTTGGAGGAGTGAATATCCCTTTTCGTTTGCAGTTTCATATTCAAGATGTAAAATGT